GGCGGGGGTAGGGGGGTGGGGGGGGTCTGTTTCAAGGCCAGCCTGGTCTACTTAGCAAGTTCAGAGGGGGGTGAGGGAGGGAGGAAGGAAGGAAGAAGGGAGGGAGGGAGGAAGGAAGGAGAGAGGGAAAAAAGTTAGGAAAATTTCTGCCAATTTCTACTCACATCTCTCTGCCCCCTGAGTGCTGGAAAAGACGGAGGGAGGGAGGGAAACTTCCTGAGAGTTTTTGGGTGAAGTTTGAAGCTCCAGGTTCCAACTCTAGCAAATGCACATGCGCACACTCACTCTCATGGGGTCTTAGCATGAAGTCAAACACCCCTGTGACTTCTGGGCCATCCTTTTCTATTTTGTTTCCTTTTGCTGTGCTAGGTATTATAATTTATAAAGATATGGTGGGGGATGGGTCCCACAAGGGGCAGCAGTGGGTGCCCTGGCGGATGTCTTGAGGCCTCAGCAGGAGACAGTCAGATAGATAGCCATGCAGAGAGAGTTTGAGTATAGAGTTTATTTAGTGGGTTATGGAGGGAGAAGGGAAGGGGATAGGAGAGAAGTGGGGGGGAGGGTAAGGCAGGCCCCCTCGGATCTATGGATCCTTTTAGGGACACTGTTCCGTTCCAACCTAGTGCCTGTCCTATGACTGCTCTTTCTCAGCCCCTTTATCCTGTGGACAAATGGATAACGGCCTGAGCCAGTCATTTCTGCCTCACTTGTAGGAAACAGGCTGACATTTTCAACTTCTACCAGCAGACAGTTAAATGTAAATAGCTACACCACGTGGGCAACCAGGATTGCTGCCATTTTGTTTGAGCTTAACAAAGGGAGGAGCCAGAGACTCTCAGGTACCCCCCTAGCCAGAGAGGGCCATTTGGTGTATTTGCATGATGGTTCACCTTGGAAGAGCCCGCCAGGGTTCCCTTTACACACAGAGACCCACCTGCAGTGCATCTCCTCCCCTGCAATGACTCTGCTTTCCCCATTAAAAAAAAAAAAAAAAAAGCCAGCTTCCTCTCGTTCACTTTTCATTTAACTTTATGTGGAACTTAAATTCTGTGTAAATGTATATATACTTACTGTTAAATGTTATAATTGTCTGTTCATTGTATCTATTCCGGACTATGAAAACAGCAGCAAGGCTCACGTTTTAAATTGGCATGTACTCTTAACTCTTACAAAAATACTGTGTATGTAATCCAACCCTGCTTTAAAATATATTAAGCTGACAACACAGTCATAGATTAAAAAGAGTAAAGAAAAATTAAAAAAATAAGCTGTTCTCCACTATTGTGAGTTCTACCGTTAAGCTTCTATTGCAAACAGTTTTTCTTCTTTATCTTTCACAAATATAATATTGCCTGTTAAGTTGACAGCCAGTACAGTCAAGCTTGGACCCAGCTCTCCAGACAGATTCTGTGCTGTAGTTATAACTTATCTATACCCAATAAACAGCCCTCAACTGCTCAGAGATTTGGGGAATATAGCATTTAAATGTTTAATTATTAAAAGACTTTTCATAACAGAGAGACACGTTGGCTCCTAGCAGCAGCACTCTGTTTCCTCCAAAGAAGACAGAAGACAAATGGGCACAGAACAATGTCCATTCACAATTCACTTCATCAAGTGAAAGCGCTAACCGTTGGGAAGAACTGCCTTTCATCTAAACTGAGGATCTCCAGATGTGGACAAAGAATCCTATGGAATCAACTTGCCTAGCTGTTCAGGCAAAGGTAGGTTTGTCTTCCTATAGATTTTCTAACCCGCAGGATCTTCCGGAGCCTGGCAGGTCCTGCTTCTAACAGCAGAAGACAAATACAGCCCTGATGCCCTTGCCCTCGAGGATGCTGAGGCGTGGCTGCAGGTAGCCAATAGAGAAAGTCTTCTGTCATTTTTTAAACCAATAACTCAAGTAAAATTTTATCCTTCTCAAAGATCTCTGATGCAGTTTGACAGCTGAGAGGTTTTATCAGTTTAGAAAGACAGCCTCACCAAACAAATTTCATAGTCTGAAGATACAAAAATGCAAGTTATTAAAATGTGTACCTGCAAGTTATAAAGGTGTGAGGATAAATACAGTTATCAAATTTCTCTCTCACGCTACCTTTCAGGCTTAAAGATACTTTTCATTGTGCAAAAACATCTCTCACAGTTGTTTTGTGGTGTGGAAGAATTGTCTGTATTCTGTCAGTCATATTTTAAATAAATGCTGATTGGCCAGGCAGGAAGTATAGGTGGGAAAACCAGACAGGAAGTAGAGGTTGAGCAAAGAGAATGAGAGTATTCTGGGAAGCAGGCAGCTTCCTCCGCCATTCCTGCCCAGATCACTGAAGAAGCAACATGTGAACTGACAGCTGAAAAAGGTACTGAGCCACATGGCTAACACAGACAAGAATTATGGGTTACTGTAAGATGTAAGGATTAGTTAATAAGAAGACTGAGCTAATGGGCCAATCAGTTTATAACCTAATGTAGACTCTGTGATTTCCTTTGGGACTTGCTGGCTGCGGGATACGGGCAGGACAGAAACCCCAACAAGCCGGCCCTCATGTTACAGTTCTGACATAAATATGCTGCTGTCTATACAATGTATGTGTCTAAAACTTATGTCTTCACAAACTCAAAGAATTCTTGTGAGTTCCAGAGAGTCGAATTGTAGGATCCACCCTAAACAGGTCAGCTACACCTTTCTCAATTCCCTGGTCCTAAATTTTTTTCCTTCCTAAATTTAACTTTGTCCTCTGCTCGGCCAACATCTCACCAGGTCCAAGAGACACCAGACAGTTCCACACCACGAATCATGGATGGGAGTAAAGCGATCAAGTACCCCAGAATGTGACCAGAGCCCAGCTATTTTAGGCCCCTCCAAGAAAGACTTCAACACCCACAAATAAGCAGGAAGAAACACTGAGAATCTGCCGTCCCAATTCCTTCAATCTGCAATGCCTAACTCCTGCCTTTTTATTATAAGAAAAAGATGGGAATGTAATCTGCTGACCTGATCTGTCACCTGGATAACCTGTCCCTTTAAGAGGCAAGCCACGCCCACTCCCAACCTCTCCCTTCTGCTGAGACAAGTAGATCTCCCACCAGTGCTCACTTGTGCTCTCTCTCTCTCTCTCTCTCTCTCTTTCTCTCTCTCCCAACCCCCTTCTTCCCTTCCCCTTCCTCTCCATAATCCACTAAATAAATTCTGTATCCAAACTCTCTCTGCATGGCTATCTATCTCTCTGTCTCCCGCAGAGGCCTCAGGCCACCCGCCGAGGGGTGACCCACTGCTGCCCCTCCTGGGACCGGGTCCACCATCATATAGTATAACACTAGGACAAAGTCAGAGGAGTCACCAGCAGACGCAGAGAGAAACCGTGCCGCACTGAGAAAAGGTACCGAGTCATGGCAAAGCATAGATAAAAAATTTGGGTTAATTTCAATGTAAGAGTTAGTTGGGCCGTGGTGGTGCATGCCTTTAATCCCAGCACTCAAGAGGCAGAGGCAGAGGCAGGTGGATTGTTGCCTGCACTTTTCTGTGAATACCCAGACCTTGGAACAGGCGCGCGCTTTCCCGAACCAAGCCCACGAGAATGGATGAATACCCTAAGGGTTGAAACACACAGATACAAAGAGACCTTGCTCATTCACCAAAGAGTAAATGGCAACTTTATTAAACACAGGTCGGGTATATATACTAGGGGCCTAGGGGGCAAAAGGGCAAAGCCCCCTCCCATCAGGAGCAGTGGAAGAGGATGACAGGTGCCCAGCGCCCAAGGCCAGGAGCAGCTGCAGTGGCAGGTGCCTGAGGCCTGTGGCTGGAACCTTGTTTACAGGTGGAATTACCATAACAAAAGAGGGTCAAGTTCCTTCTAAACTAAACCCTCAGGCTGATGCAAGAGCAGAAGAGCCAGGGAGCCAGAGGTAAAATGGCTCTGCAAATCGCCACAAATTAAAGGGGAAGAAACCTGGGTACCTACAGTGGATCTCCATGAGTTCAAGGCCAGCCTGGTCTTCAAAGAGTTCCAGGGCAGCCAAAGATACACAGAGAAATCCTGTCTCAAAAAACAAGAAAAAAAAAGAAGAAAGAAAAGCTAGCTA